ACATATTAATTTCTAAAGCATAATTTATAACGAACCCCATAAACTAGAACATTCTGAGCAATGCATCTTGCTGATATCTCAGAGCTCCTCCCCGTGGCATCTGCCCCTCCCTTGAGCTGCTAGCTTGAATAAAATTCTGGTCAATTTTCGGTTTTTATGTTTTTAGACACAGGAGTCTTGCTATGTTGTCCAGGCTGGTCTTGAACTCCTGGCCTCAAGTGATCCTCCCACCTCAGCCTCCCAAAGTGCTGGAATTATGGACAGGAGCCACCAGGGCTGGCCTAGGATAACTTTTTTTTTTTAACCACATATGCATGTATTCTGAAAACAACAGTTTAGTCGCTCTCCCTGGGAGTGCTTAAAGAAGGAACTGCCTAGCAGTTCGGTCTGTTGGAGGAGGGCCCGCCACGGGGAATTTCCTCTGCGGCTGGCCTTCCTCTGACTCACCTGCCCCTTACTCTCCTGAAGCCATCTCTGGCCCTGTGCCCCAACTCTCCCAGCACGCCCTGCCCCTCCTCCCTGTCTCCTAACCCTGACTCATTCTGGAAGCTCCAGCTCAGAGGTTGCCTAATGGATCCTCCATTCATTCATTCATTCATTCATTCTTTTTTTTTTTTGAGATGGACTTTTGCTCTTATTGCCCAGGCTGGAGTGCAGTGGCGCAATCTGGACTCACCACAACCTCCGCCTCCCGGGTTCAAGCGATTCTCCTGCCTCAGCCTCCGGAGGAGCTGGGATGACAGGCACACACCACCATGCTGCCCTAACTTTGTATTTTTAGCAGAGACGGGGTTTCTCCGTGTTGGTCAGGCTGGTCTCGAACTCCCGACCTCAGGTGATCCACCCACCTCGGCCTCCCAACATGCTGGGATTACAGGTGTGAGCCACCGCACCCAGCCCATTCATTCATTCTTGACATCCTTTTCACAAATTTCCTGCATTAATTTGCTATCTATGAACAAGTCAATATTTTGGTGCCACGGGCCAGATTTGAAGAGAGACTAGCGTAATCAGGAACCTGGGATCTGGGGTGGCTGTCTGTCTGCATTCTCTCAAACTCCACTGCGCCCTCTCACCCAAGCCAGAAATCCTGAATTGCCTCTGTTGAATCTTAAAGCCTGAGAAGTTTAGCGAAGGAAGGAGAGAGGGCAGAGGTCAGCTCAGCAAAGGACACGGCGCCAGCGCGTGCAAAGGCCCGAACATGGGAGGTCCCGGCTGCAGTAGGTCTACGAGCAGCTGTGGGAGGGGCTGGAAGCAAACGAGACGGGAGGAGAGGGGGCCTTGGAGCCCAGGTCTCGCTATGTTGCCCAGGCTGGGGTGCAGTGGCTATTCACAGGCATGATCCCACTACTGATCAGCGCGGGAGTTTTGACCTGCTCTGTTTCTGACCTGGGCCGGTTCACCCCTCCTTAGGCAACCTGGGTCCCCCACTCCCAGGAGGTCACCATATTGATGCTGAACTTAGTGCAGCCACCCGATCGGCATAGCCCACTACAGCCCAGAACTCCTGGGCTCAAGTGATCCTCCCTCTTCAGCCTCCTGAGTAGCTGGGACTACAGGCACGCGCCACCGCGCCCGACTCTATATTTATTTTTTTGAGAGGGAGTCCTGCTTTGTCACCCAGGCTGGAGTGCAATGGTGCCATCTCGGCTCACTGCAACCTCCACCTCCCAGATTCAAGGGAATCTCCTGCCTCAGCCTCCCAAGTAGCTGGGATTACAGGCGTGCATCACCACACTCAGCTAATTTTTGTATTTTTAGTAGAGACAGGGTTTCACCATGTTGGCCGGGCTGATCTCGAACTCCTGACCTCAAGTCATCCACCTGCCTCGGCCTCCCAAAGTGCTGGGATTACAGGCGTGAGCCACCGCGCCCAGCTTGTTATGTATTTCTGCTTGGGAGTAAGATCTCTTGGACAAAGGAAACCTGTGCCTTACAATGGTTTTGAAGACTATTGCTGTGAGTTCTGGGGAAGCCACACAGAAGGGGTTTGAGTTGGGGATGGCCAGAGATCCATTTGGAGATGAGACAGGTCAAGCCCAGTGGCTCACGCCTGTAATCTCGGCACTTTAACAAGCCAAGTGGGAGGATCGCTTGAGGTCATGATTTCAAGACCAGCCTACGTGACAGAGTGAGATCCTGTCTCTCCAAAAAAAGAGAAAGAGGGGCCAGGTGCCGTGGCTCATACCTGTAATCCCAGCACTCTGGAGGCCGAAGTGGGAGGATCACCTGAGGTCAGGAGTTTGAGACCAGCCTGGCCAACATGGCGAAACACCATCTCTACTAAAAATACAAAAATTAGCTGGGTGCAGCGGTACACGTGTCTCCCAGCTACTCAGGAGGCTAAACCGCAGAGCACCCACTTCACCTCCTGTCTGGGTTCAGTCTCCCTCCCGGATCTCACTCCTTTTTAGTCTTGCTCATCCTTAAATTCCCTGTGCAGGGCGTGATAGAGTCAGGCTTCCCTAGTTCAAATCCTGGCTACTTCCTGCTTGGCAGCTGTGTGACCCTAGGCGAGTCGCTCAACCTCTCTGGGCCTCACCTCTGAAGGTAGTCAAAGTGGGTTAATCTCAGGTGGCTGTGAGGATTAGATGAGGTAATACACCTGAACCCAGGGAGCGGAGGTTACAGTGAGCCGAGATTGCACCACTGCACTCTAGCCTGGGTGACAGAGCCAGGCTCCGTCTCAAAAAAAACACCAAGTAGAGTAGTGGAATGCAGGTGAGGAGGTTGGAGGGTGGGGTGGGTGAGGGCTGCGTGTTGAGGAATTCACGGGATGGCTGGGAGGAGGGACAGCGAGGCTGGGTGTCGGGGGCTTAGGGGGAAATGAGGCCTAAGCTGGGGCTGTGGCAGCTGAGAGGAAGAGCGGGGCAGAGTCGGGGCTCAGGGGTGGGGCCTGGGGATGGACCGGCTGGGAGCGAGCAGAGGGGAAGGTGGGGGCCAGGACCAGGCCTGTGGATCTGACCCAGTGATGGGGGGTGGGGAATCCCTGAGATGGGCGACCCAGGAGGAGGTGCGGATTTGGGGGGTGGCTGAATTCAGGGTGGGGGATGTTGTGTATCTTAGGGGGCCTGGGAGGGGACATCAGGAGCAAGAGGGCCCCAGGGGGATGCTCCAGCGGGCCGGCTGGGGACACGCACGCCTCCAGGCCTAGGGGATTCCAGAAGTATCTGGAAGCTTGAGGTCCTAGGGGCACCCCCCGCCAGGCGCTGCAGCCATTCACGGCTAGAGGGTTATTCACCCCCCCCACCCCGCCATGATGACGAAACAGCTTTGCAGAGGGCCAATGACTGAACCAAAGTCACCCCCTTAGCGAGGTCACTCAGGGCATTTTATGACCAGCCAGCAGCGCCATAGCAGAGATAAAAGAGATTAAAAGATTAAAAAAAGGCTCCCAGGTGCCTGATGGGGTGGGGGTGAGGCCTTCCCAGAGGCGGGAACCCTGGAGGCGAGCTTATCTGTTTATCTCCAGAGGGAAGAATTGCAGCACTCCTAAGGCCTGGGACCTCCCTCAAGCAGAACTGGGCCAGCCTGGCAACGCTGTCAGCCCAGGAGGCCCAGAGACACTAGAAAGCTTGTCTAGGTCACACAGCAATCAGGGTTGAACTGCTCCTGCCTCTGGAGTCCCAGGCACCAGGAAGGCTTCTCCAGGCCCTGGCTTCTGGCTGAGGGAGGAGAGGAGAGGGCCTGAAACAGGAGAAAGCCATGGCGGCTCACACCTGTAATCTCAGCACTTCAGGAGGCCGAGGTGGGCGGATCACCTGAGGCCAGGAGTTCGAGACCAGCCTGGCCAACATGGTGAGACCCAGTCTCTACTAAAAATACAAAAATAAAATCAGCCAGCCATGGTGGTAGGCTCCTGTAATCGCAGACACTCAGGAGGCTGAGGGTGGGGAATCGCTTGAATCCGGGAGGCAGAGGCTGCAGTGAGCTGAGATGAAGCCACTGCACTCCAGCCTGGGCCACAAGAGCAAAACCCCATTTCAAAAAAAATAAAATAAGAAAGGCATGAGGGAACTGGGCTGGGAACAGGCTTATGTTGTCCCCTTCCTCACAGCCCACAGTGGCCAGAGGGGCCCAGGCTGCCAGGAGGGTCTCACTTGGCAATAGCGCAAGATACGAGGGGTTGGAGACTGTCTCAGCAGTTTGCTGTGTGATCTGGGGCAGGCTGCCTGCCCTCTCTGGGTCTCTGCACGCGCACCTGAGAAATGGAGCCTCGAGGAGGGGTCTAAGGGGCGTCACCAAGGCTGTGAGGAGCCGGAGAAACCACAGACTCAGGGGTGAGACCGACCGGAGTTCAGATTTGCTTCTAGCTGTGTAACTGATGTCATGTCACTTTCCCTCCCAGCCTCGGTTTCCCCATCTGAAAGCGGGTACTGTCAAAGTGTCTGACTCATCCCCAGGAACAGCAGAGTCGCGCTGAGCTCACGGGGGTGGGTAGTGTTCTGCCCTGCTCTTCCCTGACCACTCCTAGGAGGCCTGAAGAGTCTGGAGCCCACCCTTTCTGCCTCAAGCCCCCTAGGACACAGCTTCTCCCTCTGGGTCTCAGCAGCATCCCAATCTCCCCCATTTCACCCCCAAGCACCCCCGTTATCTCAGGGCTTGCCTGGGGTGTCCTGGGAAGCAATGGAGTACAACACGCCATTGTGTTTCCTGGGCAACTGCTATGCACCAAGCTGCCTGCTCTCATCCTCACCTCTATCAGGAAGACACAGGGCTTATGAGCCCCTTTGACAGACAGAAAAACTGAGGCCCGGAGGGGGACAGGGACAGCCCAGGCATCCCTGCTGGTGACTCAGCACAGGCGAGTCCTTGCTCCCTTCTCAAGAGGGACCTGTACCCACAGTGGATGTCCAGTCCAGCCCAGCCCCACCAGCCAAGTCTGGGCCAGGCCCGAGGCTGTGAGAGGCTGAAGACCACCCTTGCCACAGCCCCTGGCTCCCTCAAACAGCCACCTCCTCCCTGGGATCTCCTGGCTCCCGCCCAGATCTGGGCCTCACCTGATTTCCGAGATGTCTTCTTCATAGGTGTCCCACAAGCCGGGGATGTGGGGCTCTGACGGCCCGTCCATGGCAGGTGGGCGAGGGCGGGGAGGGGAAGACGAGCAGGGAGCAGTGGCGCAGGGGCCAGGTGTGCGCGGCGACAGCGTCTGCCACTCAGGGAGCCCGCCAGGTGCCTACTCCGTGCCCAGCCCAAGGGGAGGGGCAGCACCCAGCCGGTTCTCCCAGCTGCTACCCACGCCTCCGACAGCGGGGAGAGGCCGGAGGGAGCCACCCTGCTCCGAGGGTGGGGAGGAGCAGTGATGGGCACGTCCTGGCGTCTGGTGCTCAGCTGGGGGCAGAGTCCAGGGGGTCAGCACCAAGCCCACGCCGGCACCTTACAGGCCGGCAGTTCTGGGCTTGTGGGCTCCCACCTGGAGCCCACGTGGCTCATTTGGGAAACGAAGCTGATCTCGTCTATTTCAGAGAGTTCATTCATTCATTCGCTCATTCATTCCTTTATTCGTTTGAGAAATATTTACTGAGCATCTCCCATCTGCCAGGCACGGTTCCAAGTACTAGGCCACCGCCGGGGACGGGCAGACAGAAACTGGCCCTCACGGGCTGATGCTTCAGGGACACCCTGGAAACGGACACAGGGACAGAGGCAGAGCTGGGACCACAGCAGCTCAGACAGGGCGGGGGCCCTGGGGAGAGAGGGAGAGGGCAGAGCAGGGGTGGGGACAGATACCAGGAGGGGACTGAGATGTACAGGGGTCAGAGATCTTGAGACACCCAACAGAGATACACAGAGAGCAGAGACAGAGACACACAGAAGGGTCAGGGACAGGGAGAGACAGAGATACGAGACAACTCTGTCTCGTATGGTTGGGCGTGAGAGTTTGAAGGTCACAGCCCTGGTTCAAATCCCAGCCCCAGCGCCTCCCGCTGTGGGGCCTAAAGCCAGGCTCACAGGCTCATCTTGCCTTGCTTCCCCATCTGCAAATGGCGCCCATTTCCTCGGGCCGTTGTGAGGACTGAGGAAGACGCTTCTCGGCTGCGGGGTGGAGGATCTGGTGCACAGTGGGCTCAGCAGAGACGGGGTTCCCTTCTGTTCTGCCCCCACCCCAAACCCAGGCCCTCCCCTGCTGAGAAATGCTGAGTGATGATAAAATATATTGTTTGCTAAGAAGAACGATGGCAAGGGAAACCTGGTTGCCCCCCAAGTGGAAAACTGCTTGGGGCATTCTAAAGGAGCAGAACAGTGTATGTCTGTCATACACCGGTTACAACAATTCTTTAAGCACGGTCCACGTGGCCCTGCCCGGGGCTCCCCCGTGGGGAACGCTTTCTGGTTTGTCCTTGATCAGTGCTAAGCAGGCACCGCTGCCCACCCCGTTTATCCTGGTTCTACGAGAAGACGCCGAACACCTGCTGTTAACAGTCATCACCTGTTCAGACAGACTAACCACGTGGGTCAGCGTCTGCTCGAGGCCCTCGGCCCGAGGTGCTGTCAGCCCGAGACCAGCTCCGAAGGCTGCTGGTCCCACTGGATAGTCCCACTTTGCTGTTCTGTCTGGTGTGTGCTTCTTAATGCCTTCAGCGCCGCCTGGGTGGGGGTCTCCACAGCCGAGCTGCACTCAGTACTCCCGGCTATTGGTCTCTGACCCCCCAGAGTCCTGGAGTCTGGCCACGAAGCCCATCTCCCCACCAGTGGTGGCAGGTGCCTGGAATCCCAGCTACTCAGGAGGCCGAGACACGAGAATTGCTTGAAGCCGGGAGGCGGAGGTTGCAGTGAGCTGAGATCCCGCCACAGCACTGCAGCCCGGGTGACAGAGGGAGACTCCATCTCAAAAACAAACCCCAAAACAAAAAAAAATCTTCTGAGCAGATAAGTCTAGAAAGGAAATGTGTCCCCGTCACCGTCCCCCTACCCACAGGGTAACCATACAAATATTCTGGTGGAATCTTTCTAGAAATTTATCCACATCCGTAGCTACTTGGGAGGAAGCTACTTAAGGGGCTGAAGTGGGAGGATTGCTTGAGCCCAGGAATTCAAGAGCAGCCTGGGCTGTATAGTGAGACTCCGTCTCCAAA